TGAAAATAAATTGTATAATTTTATTCAGTTTAAAATTAGATAACCATTTGTCTGAAATGGTATAGGGTTTCCTGCCTGGGCAGGGGGTTGGACTAGAAGATCTCCAAGGTCCCTTCCAACTCTGTATTCTATTCTAAAAGTATTTTCAGAGGTGGTATTCAGCAGATTCTGATCAGTTCTGGAGAACTAGTAGTGGAAATTTTGAGTAGTTTGGAGAATCAGTAAATACTGGCGGGGCTCTGCCTCCCGAGTCCCAGCTGATTGGGAAGAAATGGAGATTTTGCAGTAACTTTAACCTGGAGTGGGGAGGGAATGGAGATTTTACAGTATCCTTCCTCTGCCATGCCCATCAAGCCACGCCCACCAAGCAAAGCCTACAGAACCAGTAGTAAGTAAAAAACTTTGAATCCCACCACTGAGTATTTTCTACCTTTTTGCATTGAGCCCTCATTAGTTCTGTATCACTGCATGTATGCATACCTCCCAGCATGCAAATAGACTAGCCGTATAAGTTGAAATGTTGGCATATGGACACACAAATAGTTTGACATGAAACAACAAGATTGTGATCTGCCTTACACTGCTCAGCAGGAATCTTATGAAATCAGCATGGGATGAATTTTGGGGACTCTCATTTCTCTAATGTCTCATTATCTATGAGATATTGCTTCACTTTATTAATTGTAATGCTGCAACATTAGTACTCCAATAATTAGCACCTATATGCAACTAGCATTAACCAAGTCTTTTTGATAAGTTAGAAGCTTTATTCCATTTAGTTTTGTTTTAGTTCAGGTTGTATGCTATTTCTAAACATATTTGTTTTACTTTTGCCTAATTTCATATTAGTGCTTTAATATATTCTGTAGGTTTGTATTTCTTTTCTTCTCTAGTGAGTTATACAAATTCTTTTAAAAGTAGGCTGTGATCTGTCACCATCACAGTCAGATTGTTAGAAGAAGAAAATAGATTTTCTGTTTATGTATGGTTTATATCAGGCATTTTTAATTGTACAGTATATTTGCATTTCACCACATGGCTGTATTTTTGTTCAATGCAGTTTATAGAATGGGGCCTTTCTGCCTTATTCTTTTCAGACCAAAACACTGCACAGTTTATGGGCTTTTACCTGGAATTCTTATATGATAGGCATTCTTTTTAGAATCATCCGTACCTCTCTCCCTCTCTCCATGGCTAAATATTTTCGTAGCAGTTTTTCTAGCACAGCTGTGCTTACTACCAATGGATTAATGCAATTATTACTTCTGAGATGTGTTAAAGTGTTTTCCCTGAATAGTTGCAATTTGATCAAAATGTTTTATTAGCCATGTGTTCTAGAGATTCCACCTCCTGGAATAAGAACTGTAATTATTCAATCCTATCATAATATTTGGGCAATGATTCTAGTAAATACAATAATTATTGTAAGTTAATTTCCTTACTGTCTCTACAATTTATTTGCTCTGAATTACTATCTTGTGAAATCGAAATCCACATTTGGTGAATCCCTGAACTTTGTTAATGACCAAGGATTTATGGTATGTGTATGAGCTACAACAACTTTTTTTTTTTAAAAAAATGTTTAATGAGAAAGACTACCTTCAATTTTAGGAAGTATTAAACAGCTTATCTGGGGTACCTCTGATTATCTCATCAGTCATGCTGTAATTGATATTATTATTCCTTTAATTTGCAAAGTATATACATATGTGTTCCAACCCCTCTGTCCGGTGATTAACGCCGACACAGGCTTAGTAGTTTGCCACTCTTTATTTACAGCAATTACAATCCTGTTGGCTGAAAGCCCAAAACATGACTCACAGGGATGACGTTGGCAAACTCCAACAGACAATGCAGACAAGAGCTTCTCCAGATTGTTACAAACGGTTGTGTCCTGCAAAAGGACTCCTCCCAAAGTCTCTTCTTATATACTCTCTTGGGAGGGGCCAAGCTACAACCACCTNATAGGCCTTTCAGGCCTCTCTAAGCGGTTTACAGAGAGTCAGCATATTGCCCCCAACAATCTGGGTCCTCAATCTGGGTCTTTCAAACCTCTATGTGAAAACAATTTCCAACATTATGTGTTCTATGGGACTAATGCCAGATAAACATTTAATCCCAGCTAGTTGTTACCCAGATGATGTTGGCTTCACTTCAGAAGCTAGATAAGAACAAGAACAAGAAATTTGGTGTTTTAGGCTATACTAGGATGTTAAGTATGTCCTGGAACAGGGGTCCCCAACTCCGGGTCCATAAACCAGCACTAGTCTGCGACATTATTGCCAACAATCAGACCATGCAAGCAAGCAAGCAAGATATATATATATCTTTCATATTTTTGGAAACAATTATTTTTAATGAGGCAGCAATTATCTCTTTACCAGTGATAGTGATAGTCAATTGTTTCTTTTGACTGAGTAAGCTGAAAGTTAGCATATGGATTTCTTTATATCACTATGACTTTTCTTCTAGTAATATTTATCACCAAAGACATGGTTAGTTATTCTGAGATATATAAGTATACCAATGTTTGAAGACACACATCATGTTTGCATTTTATTGTTAAAAGATTAAAATCTGTTTTAGGTTGAAATCCTTTGGCACCAGGGATATCCTTCTAAGCACTATAGGGTATATCGTGTCTTTCCCTCTGACATCAGAGTATGTCTCTCCCTTCTCTCAGGCATAACGGTATAGAGGAGGAACAGGAATATGCCAGGGAAGATAGTGAATTTTCAGGTTATGTAATATGTTAAATACAGTCTATGATGTAGACATATCTACTGTCTTATATGTTGGCTTGTATTACTCTTTTCAACCTACTGAATCAAGTCACAGGGATTTGTGGAAAGAAAATGTAAAGGTAAAAACAGCATAAGACACCATTGTTCTGATGATGCAAGCTCTACAGGATCGAGATAAGAAAATTCTCTAAATCTCATTTATTCCTGCAGCAGTAATATTGATTACTGCTGTTGGTGGGTTACTATGTTGGTGGTTTAATTAACAGATTGTACAACTGATAGTATATCCAATATGTTTATCATAGGCCTTCTTGACTGACATGTTTAGACTGTCTCATTGGAAGCAAGATTTATATTAGTTACTACTTGTTTCATTGCTTTAAATGGGACTTAAATGCTGCAGCTAGTTTTAAGTGGACTTGATCTAATAATCTGTGATGCATTGTTGATACTATGGTCAAGTATTATCTGAAGTGCTAACCACCCAGACAGGGTACCTAATTCTTGAATCTCAATGCAGAATGTATTTGGAAATTTCATAGCTATCCAGATGCCATATTCAATTGAAAGTAGAAGGGTAGAAAAAAATGAGGGTAATGCTTTAGTTGGTTCATTATTTTAATTTTATCTAAAAGTAGTCAGAAAAGATAGGCTCTTGTTATCCCTTAGGTATCAATTTGAAAATAAATTGTATAATTTTATTAAGTTTAAAATTAGATAACCATTTGTCTGAAATGGTATAGGGTTTCCTGCCTGGCAATAGCAATAGCAGTTAGACTTATATACCGCTTCATAGGGCTTTCAGCCCTCTCTAAGCGGTTTACAGAGTCAGCATATTGCCCCCAACAACAATCCGGGTCCTCATTTTACCCACCTCGGAAGGATGGAAGGCTGAGTCAACCCTGAGCCGGTGAGATTTGAACAGCCGAACTGCAGAACTGCAGTCAGCTGAAGTAGCCTGCAGTGCTAGCTAGACTATGTCAAGTATGCATTGAGACTGTTTGCTATCTAACTCATGCCTTTGTCTCCATTTATGGCTAAGAAATTACTTTCCATGTTTTTCAGGGATTGGATATGCCACCCAGGTCATTGAAGCACATTTGAATGTTTACTATATCATCATTTTAGCATGGGCTATTTTTTATCTATTTAACTGTTTCACAGTGGACCTTCCCTGGGCAACCTGTGGTCATGAGTGGAATACAGGTACTAGCACAAAAGTGAGATAATGTTAATAATGATAAATGAGGATGATGATATTCAGTTGACTGAGTTTCATATTTAATGAATAGAATAATAGAATAATTTATTAAATGGTTCATCCTATAGTCAGCCAGATGTTTACACTGGATTTGCCATTTTTGTCTGCCTATCGAGTCCTTCCAGGCAGATGTGGATGTTTGATGGTGTTGCAGATATTGTTGCAGAATGTAAGCTGTTCCCAGTGAAGCTGCCTTTTGCAATTGACTGATAGTTTCTTTCATCTCATCTTTGTAAAAAATTTATTTTATTAAGAACTAAAATTTTCTATCACCATTCTTATATTATTAAATAGCTTTGGAGTTTTGATCAGTTCTATAGTGTTCAGTTAAATGCAAGAATTTTCATGGACTTCAGTAATTTTTGGCATATATTTCAGAAATCTTATCTAATATTGAATATTATCCAGCTAGTACATGAATCAATTCACCTATGAAGATTTTTTTTCTTTCTCCAATTTTGGAACACCAGCTTTACCTGTATGACTATGCTATTTTCTCCCTTAAAAGATTAAAGCTTTTTGGTTGCTGCTTATAGCAGATGATTCTCAAGCTAGTAATATGCATTGGGAAATAAATTGTAATCACTTGAATTGCAAAGCATTGTCACATGTAAAGTCTGTTTCTACTCTTAGAAATTTTAAATCTTATATTTCCATTGGACAAAGAGAAAATATTGAAAGAATGGTATAATGGGAATTAATTACTAAAGCACATTACCTCCATAAAAAATAAGGCAAATGTTATATAATATTTTTTTATTCTACTATAGAACATTGTGTGGAATTTCAGAAACTTAATATGAGCAATTGCACTCAACAATATTTGCAGAATGCTACTTCTCCAGTCATGGAATTTTGGGAGTAAGTATTTTTACAATTTTATTTTAATTGAAAAGAAACATTTGGAACAAATAAGAATAAGAAAATATTGGTTTTTGCCAATGGGAGAATTTTAGGTGAAAGTGATTTTCATCTATTCATCCAGGTAAATCAAGACACTTTTCCTTTGATAATATGTACCAAATAATAATAACTGTTCCTCCTAGTACTATAGTTATTATAAGCTAAATCTCAGAATTTCCTTTCAATAGCAATAGCAATAGCAATAGCAATAGCAGTAGACTTATATACCGCTTCATAGGCCTTTCAGGCCTCTCTAAGCGGTTTACAGAGAGTCA